TGTACTTTTTTAATTCACATTTGATCAGCAAATTTCTTGGAAACATGAATTTTTGCAAAGCGATATATAAAATTATGAAATTTAATTGTTGTAGTTTATTTGAAAAAAAAAAAAAAAAAAACGAGTCGATCTTAAATGCATTTTCTTCTCATTTCAGATATCGCGCAATATCAAGTTATGACTGGTCGTTCTGTGGAAATCCATATGTTCATTGTTATATTTAATTCTTATTTATGCTCCACCTTTCGTCATTCACTAATAAAACTTTAACCATTAACTGTTGTCTACTTATTCCATTTAAAGTCAAATATTTCATTTGGAAATATAATGTACAAGTTTGTACGATGAAGAAATCGTTACGATTTACAACAATGATGTCAAGATATATCTGGGGAAAAAAATGCTACTTGATGAATAGACATGTAATGACTAGTGAAGCTTGTTAGATAAAATATAGATATCGCAAGATACTGTCATGTGACAGTGTGAAAGTTGCACTGCAATTATGATTACTAGTACTGAAAAAAATGTAGGTGAAAGCAGACTGACATGATTGACGCCGGACAGAATGGGAAGGGAAGCCACATGTAGCCTAAAAAACAAACACACAGAAAACGACATGACATATGATATTTAAACCTTTTCTGTATATACAAGATTTTTTAAAACCATATGTTATTACAGTTTGGAAGCTAACGAATAGAACAGTAGGATATTGAGTATATGGTGATATCCCCGGGAAATATACATGTATTTATAATACATTATAATTATATTTCACCCAGGGTATACTTGTTTTTATTAATGACGAATAAAATCATGTCATCGGCTTACTGCAAGGGTCTAGGAGATCACACGAAAAGAAAATGTAATCTTAAAGGGAACACCTTAATACACTTTCATTCCCAACAATCACCCCAGGATTGGACGCGTCCAAACTATTCAAGACATCCAATAACTTCCTCGTCTGCAGACGTTATAACATTTTCGCATACAAAATACATCTAGGCTTGATTGATAATGAAGGAAAGTCTACCAAGATATTATATAATCTTTATAATATTCATCTAGATTGCTTATTTATGATATGGAATGAAAATACGGACATACTTCGTTTACATTAGATTCCAAAATGTTACAAGAAACCATATAAACAGACAGCGTTTCGTTACTGGCTGGTCTAGTTGTTCAACCAACCTCATGTGCTATCAAATCGGGGTTAAAGTCTGATTATGACATTGTTCATTCAATATGTTGAATGAATGGTACGTGGATTTTAAAGAACACCAAAGCACTTTTTCACTAGTCTTCAACAACCTCTTCTTATAGTTTTTTGAACATTTATTTCTATAAAAACCTTTTATTTTCCACTCTGTGCCCGAGAACGTTTTTGTTTTATTGATATTAGAGTTTCCTTTTCCAGGGAAGGCGAACGGTGGTATACATATTTGTTTGTAAAGAAACGTCCAGATGAAAGAAGAAATAAACGGACAAACCATAAAAATTGTCAGAAATTCCAACAAACGATTGATGCAGCTATAGGGGGAAACTGTGCTCCATTGTTGTCTAACTTGCTGTTCCTTACGAGGCTGAACATACAAAACAGGTCACAAAGACATTTCTAAGTCCTTCATTTTTACTTTTAGCTTTACGTCCTGCGTTTGAATATTGATCTTTTTCACAGTTTATATCCAGCAAAATTCAAAAGCAAGGACACGACGGACTGAATACATGACTATTACATCAGTTACAGTGTAATGCTGAAATTCAGACGAATCTGAGATATACAATGCAATTACTGATAATATACATTTGTAAGTAGTAAGAAATGGTCCTGATATAGACAATGTCAAAATATATAGAGATAGATAATTAAAGACCGAAAATTTCAGTACTTATTCAGAATCATAGCCTAGCTTATATTTACAGATATGGTCGTAATAGATACACGTCAAATCACAACTAAAACAGTCACAACTAGATATTGTTTTATTTCAGAAAAATTACTATCCAGTGTAAATGAAATCTGAAAAAAATCGATATCGTTCTCGTCATTCCTTTTCAAAAGTAAATGTTAAACTTAGGCGTCAATTTAAAACCAGGTAAAGATTTAAAGGTGAATTACAATGCCTTATCAAATTATACAGAATATATATAGTTAAACCGTACAGTTGAAACTAATAAGAAATGATGTCTATAAATTTATGATCTGGAAAATGATGTCATGAACCACCATAGATGCAGTTTAAACCAGGAAGTGAGGTAGCAAAAGGTGTTTTCTTTATTCCCAGGTTAGGGAAATTAGTCTATAAAGAACATTGCTTTCTTGTTTCATTATTGGCTGTACAACAGACATCCATACACTCTCAACACAGGGTGCTTGCACTTGGAAAAACAACAAGAAAATGCCCAAATGTTAACATAATCACAACCCAAACTCAAATTCAACACACTGAACCCCAGACGAAAACCGTCAAGTAGATCTTGGGCAATCCAGTTAAGTAATGTCACGTCTTAAATGAGATAAAGTTATACAACGACGGAACCAGAAGGCAAACTTACGAGCATCAAACACGTAAGAGTCTTGATACCATTATCGGTAATCAGATGTCTAATTTCTTCAAAGATGGGCGACAGGACATCCCATTAGCATCCTCTAATTTCGTGACAATTCTTTAACCCGAGCTAAGTTTACAATCGAGGAGATTGAAAGTCTGTTTAATGGGAATATGGAACGTTGGATTTTAGTATTAGTCTTCATGAACTAATCAAGATGAATTTTAGATTTTTTTTAAAAAGTGAAATTTTACTCCAAATAAAATCATAAATGTCTTTACCATTTAATCACTTATCTATTTCTCTGCAAAGTCCAATTACAAAAATAAGTTTAAGAAATACATGTATATTATTTGAATCGAAGTTGATAAGTCGAAATTTAGATTTTTGTTAAAGAATATGTTCGTGATTGTTAAAAAGGCTTTATATCCATTACTTATTTGAAATTAAGTTGGATGATATGTTTGTATATGTGTTAAGGCAAATGAAAACAAATGAAACGAAAATATTTTACGTTTTATAATGTCGGAGGATAAAGTTATGTTGGGAGAATTGACATTATTTTCTGGAGAGGTGTACTAGGGGTTTGGTTTAGATTAGAATACTTAGATAACACGGAAACGCTTAAAGGAAATTCAATCTTGCAACCACCTGTATAGCACAATGATAGTATTGCCATTTCTTGTAAAACAGTTTTTTAACCCACAAGTGCATTCATCTATTTTGTGACTTTATCAAAGATTTCAATAAATCACATTGTTTCCTCATAATGATAGAAATAAAATCAGATGGAGTACAAGGTCCACAGCTGATTCGATCAGTACCGAAAGTTTTGAAATATTCTTCAATAAAACACTAATTTTAATCAAGTATACACTGATGATATTATTATGATAAGAGATATCCTGTCCGTTTCTCAGTGCTGCGTCTGAATAGGCCATTCCTAAATATATATAAACTATATACACATGAATGGCCGCTTAATACTAATGGAGTATTATCGTCATATTTTTCAGTCATGTCACATGTTGTACATGTTGAATATTTCCTTCATTTGTTCCTTCAAATGGGACAGACGTATTGCTATAATCGAAATAAAAAAATCTATGTGCATTGCAATGTGGTTAGGCCTGCTACAAATAAAATAATAAACGAAATAATACACGAACGCAAATGTTTTTCATAATCTGCTAATTGTGGATCAATCAATTCATCAATGCATTAAGGACGGACTTACAATAGACTAAATTAATCTAATCATAACAATGATAAAACACTTGACCGTTTAAGAAGTACTCATGAAGCTTATCCTGATTAGAGTGTGCTGTTTTTTACTGTCAACTTGTAAACGTTGCCGTGATTAGTCCTTTTGTGTGGAAATTTTGTTTGAGCTGGTTTTCAATCAAGCTGACTTCCTGACTAGTTCTTGTAGCAAATATCTAAGTGACACCATAATAATCACTACTGTTAGTGATTACAACGTATCTCAAACATGTCTGTTTTATCTAAATCTATGTCAGTTAATTCACTAATTGTTTGAAAAGTAGAGTGTTGCCTTATCCTATTCGGCTATATGATCATGACAGTAAGATAATCTGAAAAGGAAATACATAATTAACAAAACCAACAATTATCCTAATTTGACAGTTTCATAACCATTCTTTTTTGGTTGATTGCAATAACAATATTTTCTTTTTATATTTAAACATGACATTTATACGGCAGACATGCTATTTTGAAATATGTACAGCATTTCAGTTTATGCTATTGGATATTGTAATATATCACACTGCGTTCTCATAAATATCTTTCTATATCCACGTGGCAGTATTTCTCAGATAAAATATACATTGACTGATTGTTAATTAATTAATCTCACGCATACTTACACATTGCTCAAAATTTTAGATTAATGTAACGTATCTATAAGGTTACGAATAGTAAATGGTAATCCAAAATTACATCGACTAGCGAATCTATACATAACATTGCAATACTTCCTGATTGACGGCAATTCTCTATCCGACGTGACCTACCTATACTTTGTAAGCTACAACGCCAGACATCTGTTTGGCGAATGAAAAGTATGCCAAAGGGCATTTTAAAAACTGAAAAGCGGAAGATGCCTCCACGTCACATGACTACTGAAGAATCACCATGTGTATATAAGGTGCACCACGTTAGTAAGTCAACAGTCTTCTGCAGCTCACAGTAAGGTAGGTGATCAGTACCTCTACAATTTCTTAAAATAGTTGGGTCTTGTACTAACCAATGTGGTGTATACTCAATCGATTTTTTTCTCAATCAATACACTTCTTCGCCATATTCGATTAGATTCTTCTTGGATTGATTTCTTGAATATTTTTCATATATATATACCTTATGTTAAGCAAACAGCAATATTTCAAAAGATTCTTCATTTTCTACCATACAGGACAGTCAGAATGAGAACCGTCAGTGTCACACTTTTCGTCGTCGTCGTCGCATTAGGCCTCAGCGCCTGTCTTGGTGATGACTTTTTTGATGACGACTACAGCTACGGACAACCCCAGTACTCCGGCGGATACGTGATGTCATATCCCCAGTACGGAGGAATGTCATACGGAAAGGGTTACGGAAAGGGGTACGGACACGGATACGGACACGGATACGGAAAGGGATACGGAAAGGTTGAGAGCACTGTTATCCGAGCCCCCTACGCTGTCCCTTTTTACCCACCACCACCACCTGCAGCTTTAGCCGCCGGAGGAGATGATGGTATTTTCGGAGGAAACGGACTGTGTAAGTAGTCATGTCTTTGTATCAGAGTTTAATCTAACAAGCGATTTCCATTATGTCAGTCATGATTTGTATCAGAGTTAAATCAAACAAGCGATTTCGATTATATCTGCCATGTCTTTGTATCAGAGTTAAATCAAACAACCGATTTTGATTATATCAGTCATGCTTTGTTAATGACTGACATATATAGCATAATCCTAAGAGAAATCTGCTGATATATCTATATGTCGAGGAAAATGGTGATCGAAAACGCAAATTGGGCAAAAGTCATTTGTTTCAAACTTGAAAACTGACATATCACAAATAGTATGCTATATTCACCAATTTCGTTTCGTATTTTTCAGTGTTCCTGCTTTTGTTGCTGCCATTCCTCCTCAATAACAACGGAGGACTGCTCGGTTAGATTGATGTCCATTATGTTATTTATGTGTCTGTAACTACAATATATGTAAGTATTATGTATTATGTGTCTAAAGTGCATGCTACCTGTTAAATATATCACACTTATAACAGGGTATTTATGTATTTATTCATTGACTGATTATTTCCTAATCTAGTTTCTAAATCATTGATCATTTGTTAGGTAAAATGTTTTATAGTTTATATAAATATATGTTGATATTTATGTTCATAAATTTATAAAAAAAATGGTACAAAATCGTACAAACATTGATGTACTTACTGAATTCACATTTGATCTGCAAATTCCTGGGAAACTGTTGAATTTTTATAAAGCGAAGTATAAAATTATGAAATTTATTTGTTGTAGTTTGTTTGAAAAATAAGATGAATCGATCTTAAATGCATTATCTTCTCGTTTCAGATATCGCGCAATATCAAGTTATGACTGGTCGTTCTGTGGAAATCCATTTGTTCATTGTTATATTTAATTCTTATTTATGCTCCACCTTTCATCATTCATTAATAAAACTTTAATCATTAAATGTTGTCTACTTATTTCATTTAAAGTCAAATATTTCATTTGGAAATATAATGTACAAGTTTGTACGGTGAAGAAATCGTTACGATTTACAACAATGATGTCAAGATATATATGGGGAAAATGCTACTTGATGAATAGACATGTAATGACTAGTGAAGCTTGTTAGATAAAATATAGATATCGCAAGATACTGTCATGTGACAGTGTGATAGTTGCACTGCAATTATGATTACTAGTACTGAAAATAATGAAGGTGAAAGCAGACTGACATGATTGACGACGGACAGAATGGGAAGGGAAGCCACATGTAGCGTAAAAAACAAACACAAAGAAAACGACATGACATATGACATTTAAACCTTTTCTGTGTACAGTGGATTTTTTAAAATCATATGTTATTACAGTTTGGCAGTTCTCGATTCCTTAAACAATAAAACAGTAGGATATTGAGTATATGGTGATATCCCCAATCCGCTCTCCCCCTTTTTTTTGATTTTGGTTTTTTGTTAAGATACGGATGTGTTTTTTAAGTCGAATGCTTGCTATTTTCCCCTATAAGAATGTCATAAAACATGCTCTATATTTCATTCGTATAACGGAATATATACTTTGTCATACTTGTGAAATATGTATGATAACAAACAAGAATATATATATTTACAATAAATCTAACATTTCATATTGGTGATTTTAATTATATTTGAACCAGGAAATACTTGCTTTTATTAATGACGAACAAAATTATGTTATCGGTTAAATGCCAGGATCTTGCAGATCACACCAAAATAAAAAGGTCATCATAGAGGGAACACCCTAATACACTTTCATTTGCAACAATCACTCCAAGCCCATTGCGTCCAAACTATTCAATACACCCAATAACTTGAACTTCGTCTGTAGACGTTATAACATTTCTGCAAACAAAATATATCTAGGCTTGATTAATAATGAAGGAAAGCCTACCAATATATTATCTTATCTTTCAAATAAAGTAATACTAACTAATTATTCTTAGTATCATGCTCATTGAGGTTGCTAATTTATGATATGGGAAAAAAATACGGACATACTTCGTTTACATTGGATTCCAAAACATTACACTAAACCATATAAACAGACAGTGTTTCGTTACTGGCTGGTCTAGTTGTTCAACCAACCTCATGTGCTATCAAATCGGGGTTAAAGTCTGGTTATGACATTGTTCGCTCAATAAGTTGAATGGATGGTACGTTTATTTTAAAGAACACCAAAGCACTTTTTCACTAGTCTTCAACAACCTCTTCTTATAAACATTTTTTTCTATGCGTACCTTTTATTTTCCACTCTGTACCCCGACAACGTTTGTGTTCTATTGGTATTAGAGTCTCCTTTTCCAGGAAAGGTGAACGGCGGTATACATATTTGGTTGTAAAGATACGTCCAAATGAAAGAAGAAATAAACGGGCAAACCACAAAAATTGTGGAATTTCTGGATGACAAGCACTTCGTCGTGTGTGATTTTGTTGTTTTGGTCAGAACTTCCAACAAACGATTGATTAAGCTATAGGGGGAAACTGTGCTCCATTGTTGTCTAACTTGCTGTTCCTTACGAGGCTGAACTTACAAAACAGGTCACAAAGACCTAAGTCCTTCATTTTTACTTTTAGCTTTACGTCCTGCGTTTGAATATTGATTTTTTTCACAGTTTATACCCAGCATAATTCAAAAGCAAGGACACGACGCACTGAATACATGACTATTACATCAGTTACAGTGTAATGCTGAAATTCAGACGAATCTGAGATATACAATGCAGTTACTGATAATATACATTTGTAAATAGTTAGAAATGATAGGGCTACCATTTGCGGGTCTTATAATCTTTTAATTGATCATGATTTAGACAATATCAAAATCTATTAAAAATAGATAATTCAAAACCCAAAATTTTAGTACTTATTCAGAATCATAACCTTGCTGATATTTATAGATAGTATCACCCTGGTCGTATTAAATACACGTCAAATCACAACTAAAGCAGTTAAGACTAGATTTTGTTTTATTTCAGAAAATTCACTATCCAATATAAATGATATGACTGGAAAAAAAAACTTTCCAAAAGTAAGTGTTAAACTTAGCCGTCAATTTAAAACCAGGTAAAGAATTAAATGTGATTAACATTGTCTTATTAAATAATACAGAATATATATAGTTAAAACGTACGGTTGAAACTAATAAGAAATGATGTCTATCAATTAATGATATGGAAAATGATGTCATGAACCACGATAGATGCAGTTTAAACCAGGAAGTGAGGTAGCAAAAGGTGTTTTCTTTATTCCCAGGTTAGGGAAATTAGTCTATAAAGAACATTGCTTTCTTGTTTCATTATTGGCTGTACAACATTGACAGACATCCATACACTCTCAACACAGGGTGCTTGCACTTGGAAAAACAACAAGAAAATGTGCAAATGTTAACATAATCACAACCTAAACTCAAATTCAACACACTGAACCCCAGACGAAAACCGCCAAGTAGATCTTGGGCAATTCAGTTAAGTAATGTCACGTCTCAAATGATATTCAGTTATACAACGACAGAACCAGCAGGCAAACTTCCGAGCATCAAACACGTAAGAGCCTTGATAACATTTTCGGGAATCAGATGTCTAATTTCTTCAAAGATGGGTGACAGGACGCCCCATTAGCATCCTCGTCATGAGAGTTAGGACTATTTATGATGTGAACAAAATAAATTAATTAAATACTTTCGCAAGTACTCTATTTCTGGATTCAAGATCATAATGGATAAAACACAAAGTGTTCGTGACAATTCTTTAACCCGAGCTAAGTTTACAATCGGGGAGATTGAAAGTCTGTTCATTGGGAATATGGAACAGTTGATTTTAGTATCAGTCTTCATGAACTAATAAAGATGAACTTTGATTTTAAAAAAAAGTGAAATTAAAAACGCAAAATTTAACCCCAATTTTGGAAGCTCATTTTATAAAATCATAAATGTCTTTATCATTTAACCACTTATCTATTTCTCTGCAAAGTCCATTACAAAAATCAGTTTAAGAAATATATGAATATTATTTAAAATTTAGATCATTGTTAAAGAATATGTTCGTGACTTAATATTCATTACTTTCATTATTTGAAATTAAGTTGGATTAAATTTTTGTATCTGTATCAAGGCAAATGAAAAACAAATTTAGCGAAATCATTACACTTTTTATAATATTGGAGGATAAATATAATAATGTACTAAATGCTAATGCTTTTTTCATAATCTGCTAATTGTGAAATAATTAATTAATTAAGGGTGGACTAACAATAGACTTAATGTATTTAATCACAACAATAATAAAACACTTGACCGTTTAAGAAGTACCCATTAAGCTTATGTTGGTTAGAGTTTGTTGTTTAATACTGTCAACTTGTAAACATTGCCGTGGATGGTCATTGTGTATGGAAAGTTTTCAATCAAGCTGACTTCCTGACTAGTTCTTGTAGCAAATATCTAAGTGACACCATAATAATCACTACTGTTAGTGATTACAACGTATCTCAAACATGTCTGTTTTATCTAAATCTATGTCAGTTAATTCACTAATTGTTTGAAAATTAGAGTGTTGCCTTATCCTATTCGGCTATATGATCATGACAGTAAGATAATCTGAAAAAGAAAAAAAAATTGATCGCTTCAATGCAAACATTTGTAAATATCAAAACCAACAATTATCCTACTTTGACAGTTTCATAAGCATTCTTTTTTAGTTGATTGCAATAACAATATTTTCTTTTTAATTTAAACATGACATTTATACGGCAGACATGCTATTTTGAAATATATACAGCATTTCAGTTTATGCTATTGGATATTGCAATATATCACACTGCGTTCTCATAAATATCTCTCTATATCCACGTGGCAGTATTTCTCAGAAAAAATATACATTAATTGATTGTTAATTGAGTACTCTCACGCATACTTACACATTGCTCAAAATTTTAGATTAATGTAACGTATCTATAAGGTTACGAATAGTAAATGGTGATCCAAAATTATATCGACTAGCGAATCTATATATAACATTGCAATACTTCCTGATTGACGGCAATTCTCTATCAGACGTGACCTACCTATACTAAGTAAGCTACAACGCCAGACATCTGTTAGGCGAATGAAAAGAATGCCAAAGGGCATTTTAAAAACTGAAAAGCGGAAGATGCCTCCACGTCACATGACTACTGAAGAATCACCATGTGTATATAAGGTGCACCACGTTAGTAAGTCAACAGTCTTCTGCAGCTCACAGTAAGGTAGGTGATCAGTACCTCTACAATTTCTTAAAATAGTTGGGTCTTGTACCAACCAATGTGGTGCATACTCCATCGATTTTTTCTCAATCAATACATTTCTTCGCCATATTCGATTAGATTCTTCTTGAATGGATTTATTACATATTCTTC